TGATTGTTGAAACCCTTACTTCGTGGAATGCACTCATTTCAGATAAAATAAAACGTTTTATTTTATCTAAAGAATTAAACTTTATTTTGCAAATAGGTAGATACTTATTTAACTTTTATTGGTTATATATTACCAATAAAATAAACATCTTACATTTCTTGCAAATTCATTAGTACCTGTTAACCTCCATCACTCCGACACTGGCAACCTTATTTAGGGATTAGTAACCCTCACAACTATTGTATTCTATTCTGCTCCAACCTTTATACCTGGTGGTCATACTCAATTTAAAATTGTTTTCCTATATACTTCTGTAAACTTGTTGACAAATATCTGTTTTTCATTGAGTCACCCGTATCAACAGTTTAGGGATTTGCATACATAATTTATTGTTTTATTACTCTCTCATACATAAAAATGCACTAATGGGGGCTTGTGATCGGCAAAAGTAACTCTTATCTAACTCGATCCACACAACAACCATTCCAGGCGGAGTTCAAACGTAGCAATACCCTACTAATATCCGATAAATTTTTAAAATCAATATTCTCATCCTTAAGTATATTTATCTTTTATGATCCCTTGTACTTCTCCGAGACCTGCAGTAAATTCCGAATACTCCGATTCAAAGTTTAAGATAGACCTAGCTATTTCTCCGACCGCAAAAAACAACTTTTTCCCGCGTTCCTTACGAATACAATCACTGCCGGGAAATTTCCAATTTAAAGAGACTACTTTAGATATCCCACAAAGGGGTGCATTGATTTTCGGTATCAGCTTTTGTTATCTATTGCAAAAGCAAATAAACCGAATTCTTAGAAAAGGTAAACTGTATAAGTGAGGTCAGGCATAAATTAGTCGAGACTCTTTGGGAGATAAAAGTTCGCAGATAATTTTCTCGTTTTCTTAGTAATTTATGCATGGAAACTTCAAAAGCTCGACTGCTAACCACCTTGAAAACTACAATTTAATATTCATTAAGGAACAACGCACTCAAGAAAGCTAATCAGGTTTCAGTTTCTACATTTTTTATATATTATTTTTAATTAAAATGTTCAAAATACTTTGTTGGCTTTTTAGAATAATTCCAGACTGATGTGCATTACATTGTGATTATGCATTGACACGTCGTAATTTTATTCTCTTTGCATTGCTTGTACACTTCTTTGTTGGTTCTTCTTCTCCATTATTCCTTGCTCTTTATCATGGTTCAAACGGATACAAATTCACAATTCTAACGTTGAACAATTTAATGAACAATAAAACATACAGCCATACACACTCCCATATCATGATAGAATAAACATAGTGGTTACGATATTGACCAGTTTAGTCTTATCATTCAATCAATCCAAATCTTCCTCCCAACTTTAACTATAAGTCAATATATCGCCAACAAATACAACCCTCGCTCGTTATTCCAAAAGATTTACAAAGCCAAATACATTTCATTAATTATAATGAAATTATAAAATACTATTCGCTTATCCGGTTCCCAGACTTTATATCGGTTCTTTAAGCATTATTTTCTTTTACAATGGGTAGGACATTAACCTGGCCCACCAAACCTCCTCTTTTATCCGGGCTTGGGACCGGCTGTGGGCATGAACGCGGCTTCTGTGCTACTCAATCCACCTACCACAAATACCACAAAAGTCCTAACCAACAAAATCAATCAACTAACAACTTTATCAAATGAACAATAAGGATTCAAATTTGAAAGATCCTGTGTAGACGCCGTATTTTGTACTAAGACAAATCACAGAAAAGGCCATCGAGAACAATAAACCAGCATATCTATGTTTTATAGACCTGACAAAGGCTTTCGATCGCATCCAAGTCGAAGACGTCTTTCACCTACTGTATAAAAGAAACATGCCAATCAATATTAAACAATCTATCGAAAACATCTACTTCGACAATCGAACATAGGCAAAGATAAATAGAAAACTAACACAGTGTATACCAGTACAAAGCGAAGGCAGACAGGGTGATTCGTTAAGCCTAGATCTTTTTAATATAATAATGGACGAAATATTACAAGCAGTACAGCAGTAAAGCTCATGGTTACAGAATGGGGAACCGAGACAGAAGACGAGCTCTAAAGATTAACGCATATCTTCAATACAACATCCAAGAAATACAATATGATAATATCAGCAGAAAAAGCCAAATATATGACAACATCTAAATACCATGTTAATACCCACCACGATATAAAATCAAAATGGATGGGGAAATAATAAGGCAGATCGCAAGGTTTAGATATCTGGGAATAGATATAACTAATTGCAGAGAAGTTAAAGAAGACGTACGACAACAAACACCTAAGACAAGACACAAAAGATGTCCAAGATAAGATGTTCATCATCATTCTGACTTTACAACCCTGCTTGGGTCCTAGCCTTCTCAAGAATTTCTCTCCAGTCGTCCCTATCCATCGCCTTTCTTCACCAAGCATGTATTCCCATATTTCTCATGTATTCATAAATGTTATCAAGGAACCTTGTTCTGGGTCTTCCTCTTCTTCTCTGACCAATGGATCTATCAAGGGGCGTTTTTCTAGCTGGGTCATTTTGTTCCATCCGCATTACATGCCCCATACACGTCCTATTTTAATATGTTTTACATCAGAGGTTCCTGGTATATTCTATTAAGTTCGAAATTGTATCATCTTCTCCATCCTCCACATTCAACTTTTCCAATAGTTAGTTTTGTTAAATTTGCCAACTGATTTGTTATTCCTAGCTCTATCATTCCTTTGAACATTTCTCTTCTATTCACACAGTCGTAGGCAGCTTTATATATATATATATATATATATATATATATATATATATATATATATATATATATATATATTTCAAAAATCTTTCCAAAAATCCATAAGCCTTATGTTCCCCTAAGACCCATCATCAGTGCATACAACTGCCCCACTCAGAAATTGGCAAAACATCTCGCTTTATCTTTACAACCATTAGCCGAAAAAGCTTCGTCTTTTATCAAAAACTCTTTTCATTTTATTGACCTGAAAAATATTTCTATTTCTCCCTCAGATATACTAGTTAGTTTTTACATTGTTTCTTTGTTTTTTGTCATTTGGCCTCATGGTAGGGACGCGTTAGATCTCTTCCTCTCCCACCTGAATGGAATACATCCTAGTGTTCAATTCACGATGGAAGTTGAGTCTGAAGCGTCTTTGCCATTCCTTGATGTCCTTATTCAGAAAAACTTACCTCACAGTTTTTTCTATTCCGTGTACCGGAAACCCACTCATACAAACCGATATCTTAATGCCCAGTCACATCATCACCCCGCCCAACTCAATTCAGTGGTCAACACTCTCATTTCTCGTTCCATAAGACTTAGCGACATCAATCAATCATAGGTCATCCGAAATCAATTCAATAAGGCAAACACTCATACAAAACGGCTACCACAAAACCCAAATCGATTAGAGCATTAGTAGAGTACATAATAGTATGTTATACCTTCTGCTTTATATTTAATTTCTCTTTTATTTGAACTATTACTGTCTTTTCATATTTTTTTCTTACTTCTTCATTACTCATTTTATTGACATTCTACTTTTTATCTTGGGTTTTCTGATTTGTTTCACTTTAACTTTTTGTCTTATAGTGGCTATGACCATGTAGTGGTCTGAATCTGAACACGCACCTCTAAGTTCTTACATATTTTATTGACAATTGTTTTCGTTTAATAATCACTATCTGATCAATTTGATTGTTTTCTGATCTGGTGACCTTATGTATTTTAGGGTGTTCAAATTTTGTTGAGCTTATAACAAATTTGTTCTTGTTGCTAGATTACATAGTCTTTGCCCGTTGTCATTCGTGTTTTCTTTCGTAGGCTGCTTTGTAGTCTATAAGTATGTGATATCAGTATCAATGCCACGAGCATTCAAAGATATCTTCTTGTTTGTGTATGGTGCAAAGTAGTCCAATATTCTAATCATTGGGGAAAGACTTCTGTGTCCATATTTCTTTTATAAGCTGCTGTAATGCTATTATGGTATCGTGGCCACCTTTTTTTATATAGTTCAGCTGGGAGTTTGTCTATTATGGGTGATTTGGTTCTGGCTAGTATTTTAACAGGATCTTCAACTTCAAGAATCGTTGTCTAAGTCAGTTCTCCTTTCGTCTTCCAAGTTTTCTTCTTCTTCGTCTATATTAAGTGCCTGGGAAAGTTTCCACCCATCTATCCAATACATCTTTCCTTGATATTAATAGGTCGCCATTCTAACTTCTGTATTGTCTTGTAGTTGCCTTGAATTATATTCTGTTGATATTAACATTCTTATAGAATGCTCTGACTTCTTTCTCTCTGTTGATGTTTTCAATATATTTAAGTGGTTTCGTTTTTTTCTTTTGTGTATCCTCTTTTCTTCTCTTTTTTTTTGTTTGGTTATTCTCTACAGTTGTTCTAGTTTATTATTGAGAGATCCCAAGACTTTTTTGCTTGTGTGATTCATTAATCTATTTCTCGTGAATAAGTGCCAGTATTATCAAAGTTAACTCCCAAATGATCACAGCTCTGATATCATGAAATGTTTTCTCTGTTTTCGATGTCAGACCAATCTCCAAGACAAGATGTTGACTCTACTTTTATTTGATCAATAAGTGTAACTCGCAGCATTTTTTGTTATAAATTTCCATCTAACATCTTCAATAGATCTTTTAGTAGGTTATTTTTACAAAATGAGATGTAAAAAACATGTGTAACCAAATTTATTTAAACTTAAACATATTCAAAAGCACAGCTTTACAAAAATGATTTTAAACAAGTAGGAGGAACATTGCCATAAAACTTACAAACCAATGTTTTATAAGAACATATGAAACCTAACATAAATCCATTTACATAAAACACAACAACCAATTTACCAAAACATAACTAAACACACATTAAGTATCAAATCAAATGCACTTTTTTGCAATAACCATATTACTAGCAAGTTCCTCGAACACATATAGGTATATCTAAACATTTCTCTTAATAGCTTCATCTACTTCGTCAACAAAACCCTTGAATTTCTGCCACTGTTCCATGGTGAGCATAATTCCCTTTTTGCCGGGTTTAAGTTCGCCGTCGGCATTGTAGTACTCTCTGATATTAACATACCAGGTATTTTTGAACTCACTCAATTTAACAAATTTATTTTTACCCAGAGCCCAGGAATTCTCTTCTTCGCTTGATGACTTCGACGGTTTTGACTCAGTCTTTTTGGTCTTCTTAACTGGAACATCCTACAACAAGAAACATGATTAATAATATGTCAAATGGACATTTAAAATGGTTTAAAACTTTCAGTTCTAGTGGTAAGAAGTGTCACAACTTTTCCTACAAACGAGTTAACCCTTAATATAGATTTGTATCTTTTAGGCTACGTCATTTTCAAATATGTAAATTGCCTATCTCTTAAATCATTTACTCACTATTGTCTGTTAATTGTGTTGCCTATACATCTACTAAACTCAGAAAGCTAACAGTACTGCCATCTGTAGTGATCATTCAAAGTTAGTCACAATTGTGATCAGATGGTTGCCTAGTGAACGCCGATTAGAAAAAAACTGGTAAGTTTTATTCAGTATTAGTGTAAAAATAATTATTTTGTTTTGATACAAAAGATGAAGTTTGTTGTAGTATGATGATGTGTTGTGATCATACATATATGAATATTTATATATACATATCCAAAAGTGACAATGCTGAACCATTTTTTAAGATGTATCTAATTTGCCAATGATACAGCATATAGAAGCATTTTTGTTTTGTATCCTATAATCTATTTTGCCAAAGATATAGCTTAATGAAACTTTTTTGTTATGTATACTTATAGTTTACTTTGTATATATTCAGTATTGTGAAATATTTTTGTTTTGAATGAATTCATTTAGTATATAAGTATAGGGTTTCCTTGGTTTCAGCGAAATACCAATATGACATCATCAAGGTTCGAAAAAATGTTGGCATTACTTCCACCACCTTCATCTGATATGGATGATTCAAGCGATGAAGAAAATGAGTTATACTAAACCATCTAGAACTCAAAGTTCTGAAACCGATGAAAATTCTGAAGTTGAAAGTTTACCTTCTGAAGTTCAAGACATTTTTGATACATTATCAGATACAGATCTAAATCTATTTGCAGTATACCTAAATCTGCTTTGAGTCCTCTAAAAACACGATCACATCAGATAACTGGAGCATCTAAAGAGATTAACGACAACACTAACCAACGAATACCAACAGATGAAAAAAGAATTTCCCTATCCTATGAACATTCCCGAAAATAACTTTTCTGTGGTGGATGAACTAAAGTCACCATTAGAATATTTCAAAATGTTTTTTCGGGCGATCTATTAAAGTTGATTGTCAACAATACAAATCTTTATTCCATTATAAAGATATTCCATCGTTACTAAAGATAAGATAAGTGACTTCTTAGCGATACAGATTTTGATGGGTATAGTAGCTATGCCATTATAGATTACTGGAGTGTAAACTTCGCACAGTTTTGGACATAGTGAGAAAAAATTGTTGTATTATAGAAGAGGAAAAATGCCAGAGTATTGATGAAATGATGGTCCCTTATAAAAGGAAAAAGGCTAGTTTACAAGGACAGTTGAGTCGAGTTTGTTGAGACTAATGCTGATCACATTTCTTTTAGTAAAAATAAAAAAATGCTTATGTATACTATACCCTTTAGATCACTAATAAAACCACATAGAGTTATAATACCCAATTATACAGAATATAATCATATAAACCATACCCTTTTAAAATCCATATTGGATGGATTAATCAATAACATATTTATATATATATATATATATATATATATATATATATATATATATATATATATATATATATATATATATATATACAGATGGATCCAAAACAAAACATGGAGTTGGTTGTGGAGTATTTATTCAAAATACAAAACAATCATTTATGTATAAATTACCATCAATATGTAGTATATATACTGCTGAACTTTTATATATAGCAATTTTGAAGGGCATTACTTGGTTAATATCAAATAATTTACGAGAGGTGGTAATACTAACTGATTCTAAGTCAGCCTTGGAATCAATAAAAAGTATAAAATTTTAAAGAATGAAATGTCCTATATTATGCAATTTAAAAAAATTGATAGCAGATTTAAATATAAAATTTGTATGGATCAAAGGTCATATAGGTATAATAGGTAATGAAAAAGCTGATAGTTTGGCCAAGGAGGTAGTACAAAACGGAGTTCATTGTAATATTTGTACAATACCAGACGTCTCTAATTTGATAAAAAATAAAATAATGTCCAAATGGGAAAGACAGTGGGAAAACGTTGTAGAAAACTCACAAAATACGTATTTTAAAATACATCCAACCCTACCATCTCCACCCCAATATATTTTTAACTATTCCATTTCAAAATTCTTTTCGGCAACTGTTTTTCGACTTAAAACAAATCATGGGCGATTTCCATCGCACCTTGCTAAGCTAGGCATTATACAGTCATCCGCCTGTAGTTGTGATCAGAACTCTTACGGAGATCTAAACCATATATTCTTCGGTTGCAAAAAACATTTTAAAAAATCCGATGATTTAATTCGTAAACTCATTAAAATGAAATATTTTCTTCCATTAAATCTATCACACATTTTGTTAACTGCCAATAAAAACACCTTAGAACTTCTAGTAAATTTTATTAAAGAAGTAAAAATAGAAATTTAAAACAGCATAACCCACAACTCTGTATTAACATTATAAGGGAATTTCTGCATACAACATTCTGTGGCAAATGGACTTGATTCCGTGCCATTATCTTTTCACACACACACAAGGACAGTACATACAATGAAAACCAAAAAAATGGGGTTTTAAAATATGTATTTGCTAGAGCCAGCATTTCAGGGTTTGTGTATGATTTCATTGTTTATGGAGGATGATACTTTTCGGCAGCATACTTTTTCAAAAAAAGAAGAATCCTTAGGATTGACAGGGGCTAAAGTTGTTCTTGCTCTAACACAATCAATGAAATCACTGGCGCTCTGTGTTATCTATGTCGATAATTTCTCTTAAGTTTTGATTTGTTTTACATTCTTCACCATGATTATAGAATTTTAGCCCTGGGAACAATGAGAAAGGATTGAATATAAAATTGTGTTTTAGAAGATGAAAACTCTGAAGAAAAAAAGAAGAGGGACATTTTGTTCAAGAAGTGACAACATAAATAAAGTAAATATTGTGAAATGGGTTGACAACAAACCTGTTATCCAAGCTAGTACATATATATCTTCTACACCTGTCCATACAATTAAAAGGATGATAAAAGTCAGCAAGTAAAATTGAAATCCCTTTTCCCTTTCTCATAAAACACTACAATTCTCACATGGGTGGAGTAGATCTGATGGACATGCTGGTATAAATACACGAAACAATCTCATAAACTATAATATAGCAATAAAAATATGCAAAATATGAAAAAACCACAGAATATGCCTGTATTAAATTCTTTAATAAACTGCCTTACAGCATCAAAATAGAAACTGACATAAATAAATATAGAAAGTCTGTTCAACAGTTGCTCATACACCTTGAACTATACAAAGTGGAAGAATACCTTCAAGCTGACCTGCGGGGAGACTGAGGGCTCTTATCTGAATCTAAATGTCACTGTTATTATTATTATATTTTAATATTACTTTTATGTTAAGTGTAGGTTGTTACAGCAACCATCATAAATTGTAATTGACACCATCCTCTCCATTGACAATTTATATTTGTGTGTAACATGTGAATCCTAAGAATAAAGCTTTTTTCTATTCTATTCTGGTAAGCCTTTGCAGAATTACCCTAAAAACTCGTCACTGGTACCTCTCCATATTTGCACTCAATTATTTCATATAGAAGGGATAAAAATATTTTACCACATCCAAAGATTATATTCTCATATATTTTAGACAGTGCATAGGGCACAGAGACTCTAACAGCAAAAGGCAGAAAAAATAAGAGTGTGTTTGCCGAGCAAACCGAAGATATAAAAAAAATTAAAAAGTGTGTTCTATCAGAGGAAATACAATTTGATAAAGTTGATCATTTTGCAAATCAGGAGAGAGACACTAGTCATGTTCAAAATGATCTCTTAGATTGTGTTTAGTAAAGGATAGAAATTGTTTTAACTCTTTTCATAATAGCACATCAGTTTTAGAACAATTTTGCTTATTTTTGTCTAGAATGATAAATTAATATCTTACTTTTTTACTTTTTGCTTCCATTTTTTATTAAAAAATTAGTTTTAGCACTTTTAGTTTCTGCTTTTATTGTGAGGTTTCACCTACAATCTTAGACTATGTTTCTTATAAGATACCTAATAAACTTTTACAATAAATTTGGATATTTGGCTATGTATCTTGTGGGATACACTCCATATCTCCCTTATTTATACAAAGAATAATATAAAAATGGTCAAAATACCTTGTGATATAACATATCACACTACCTAAACAATAATTTCACAAAAATTACTGTTATATTAAAGATTGCCAAATTAAGAATCAAATTAGTAATTGAGGTTCAACTTTTATAATATTGGCAGTAGTGAGTATTGATATGATTCAATAGTAATGTTAGTTTTGAATTTGGTTAATTTCTAATTATAAAAAAAGACAATTAATCTCAGATTGGAATTTTTTTAGATGAGTAAATGTAAATATCTTTCTGTTATGCAAATATCTTCTATTACTGGTCTTTTAGAAAATACCACATTTAATCAGAGAAAAATAGCAAGAAAATAGGGTGCATCTCAATTGTCAGATCGCAGGTTGAGTCAAAAACTTAAAGAAAAACGTACTGTTACATCAGTTCAGAAAGATTGGTGAGGCAGAAAGCTTTTAGTTAAGTACCCCTATAAGGCAACAAGTTTTAAAGAATTAGGCTGTAAAACACAAAAGAGCCACCCATAGTACAATATATAGTTAATCTATTGAAAAAGCTTTCCCAACAACTTTTCCTCATCAGGAACCTTGTACAAGTATCTTCCAGAGAAAACTATTTTAACAGCTTATTATAATAATTTCCATTCTCATCTGACATATGCTAGTCTCTCCTGGGGCCACTCTTGTTATATTGATAAAGTGTTCGCACAACAATGAAAGTGTGTTCATATTATCTCTAGAATAGTTCAAAGTATTTAGCCATAAAATTCTACAACTTAGTGCCAGCTAGAATAAAAGTTCTTAATTTTCCTCAGTTTAAGGCAAAAATTAAGAGTTGCCTTATAGCGAATACCTTTTTTTTGTATATGAGGAGTATTTTACTTTCAATGTTAATTTGTTGTAATTGTCAACAGTATAAGTTATTATTTATTTATTAACTGATATACCATTTACATTGGAATAAAATATAACATAACATTTAGAAAGTAAGCATAACATTGGAAAATAATTAGTAAAGTTTAACACAAACTAATATCACACAAATAGCAGTCTCTTTATCACATTTTTAAATTGTTCTAAGACCTGGAAAAATAAGTCCAGATCACTTTGGTACCTATTATATAGTCTCGCCATAAGAGTAAGAGGCTTGAAGTATTCATAATTAAATTGATGAAATGGTAGATGAAAGAATGAAGTATGCCTAGTTCCATGAAGAGTGTTCAGACCTAATCGATTTAAAAGTTCAGAGCAATTTATTAAATGATTAGCAATTTTGTAAAGGAACATTAGGCAAAAATAATCTAAGTTAAAACACTGTCTATGTTTTATATTTATGTGTAAACTATATTGACATATATTTTATTTATCTTTGACTTATAAAAAATACTTTTGTATTCATTTCTTACCAATAAACCATATATCTATCATTTATCTGGCATAAATATATAAGTAATAAATTGGAAGGAGCAAGATGTTTAATATCAACGATCACTGTATGCAGAAATTTCTACAGTGTGGGGCTCAAATGTCATAGGCCTGTTAAAATGCCAAAAATAACACCACAAATGCTCAAGAAATGTTTAGCTGGAACCAATTTGCATAAGATTGGACTATTGATGATTGGCAAGAAGTAAGTTAACACAAATCATTTTGTTTTCATACTTTATAATTTTTGTTCACATTTGCAGGTTTGCTAAAGTAAAGTAATGAAGCAACATTTAAAATTATGGATGATACCACCAAATTTGTTGAGCGGAAAAATTGAGAAGGGGTGTGTAAAGCAATGAAACATTCTAGAAAAGCAATAATCTGTTCTGTAATCAGTGGCAAAGGAATGAGACGTTTAGATGTGGTACACAGATCCATGTACTAGTACAAGTATATAAGAGTTTTATAGACAAAATTGATTCCATAACTGAACAAATGGTTTGCTAATGGTTGCAAGATCTTTACGCAGGATAGAACACCTTTTCATAAGGCTAAAAGTATTAGAAGTTTCTTAATGAGGCAAGAAATTCTTCTATACCTTTCCAGCAACTTACCAGACATGAACCTCATCACAAATGTCTGTAAATTTATTTACCATTTAGAAAAAATAGCAGCAAGATGGATAAATAGCACTATTGGGAGAGTGATTTCACCTCTTATATCCAAGGGTGACTTAAAATAATATTGTAATAAAATTACTTATGTAATAATTTCAATTCTTTTTGATAAATATACAAAAAGATTAGTAGTATCATTTATGTAATCTGCTTATATAAAGCTAACAGTTATAATTGTAATTCATTATGAAAGATGGAAAACCAGAATTGTGAGTCTAATAATGAGTAAGAACAAAAAAGTGGCAAATAATTACAATACATATAGTGCAGACATTAACAATAAACTGTAAAACTAGAGGAATATTGGAATATTTAAATACCAATTAAGGAAAAAGTGCATAATTTCTTTTATATAATACCTCAACAGTTAAAATGTGAAATGAGCATTTTGGTGAAAGAATTAGGTATCCCAAGTAAGGCATTGCTGATTCTATAGAATAGTAATTACTATGAACACTGGGAATTATCAAACAATAACTAGTTCTCAGTAATTAGTGCATGAAGGTAAAATAAATAGTTATAACTGTGAATGAACTCAGCCTTGCCCAACCAATATGAACAATACTGAACATGTAAAGAATGACCTATTATATATTTCTATCCAACCATGTAATTTTTTAACCTATAATATACAGTTAGTACCAAATAGATGCTGATAAACCTCGAAATATAAGATAGTAACATCAAGACCTTGTTTTAAATATTATTATCTACTAGAAACAATACTTACGTCGTCTGGTCCGGAATCTGAGTCGGAAGTATCTCTTTTTGACTTATTTTTAGGCATTTTAAATAAATTAAATAAACAAAGGAAAGCTAAAACTTAAACAAAGCGTATAAGTTGAAAAAATACAAATAGGTCGAAGCGAAATTTATGCCGGCTGCTGTCTTAGAGATATTCTTCACAAATGGAGGTTAGAAAATAGAAAATGACGGTTGCAAATTGCAACAAACGCGCAGCGCAGCCAATACAGATGTCACTAAACAATCATACCAACTTCCGACAACGACAAGCAGCAGCTGTTCATCTTTCTTTTCAAGATACAGGATCGGCCTAGAATATTCTTTTTATAAAATATAGGTTTAAAATACTTTATTTTAAATATTTTATCTAAACTGTTCGCATCATTTTTTTTAAAATAAGTTAAAAAAATATATCTATAATATTTATTTAGCATTTAAAATCGTTCATTGGACAGTAATCAAAACAATTATAAATGCATTCAAATCTATGTACCTACATAATCGGCACCAAAGTACCTAAATTCCTAAAAAGAATTGATATATTTTGTATATTGGTATTATAGGTAGGTGTTAATTGTTTTATTGCAGTAATATTGTAGGTGCCTACCTATGCCTTCCATTTCTCGTATGCAAAATTTTTAATTTCGGTATTGAACCAAAGCTTTGATATAGTACATCCACTAATAATTTTCCAACATAAATATGCCTCACTCTGATTTCAAAGAGACCGCCTTTCAAATCAAGGTTGTCAGACATATTTCCTAAAATTCCTAAGGTTATATTTAAAAAATATTCTCTATTCTCTATTCGTTATTATTCAATTGCTAGTCAACGAACGACACTCTTAAAAAATAATATGAACATATTCTCAAAAAATATATCTATATAAATTAATTAACTAGGTACTAATATTTCCATGGACTCTTCACTAATGAATTAAAGCAACTGTGAACTTTGTATATATAACTTATACTCTAAGTAATTTTCGAATATCGGCAACATTGTAGTCTGGACAGAATTTCGAGGTGATTTCGATGTTCGGTCTATATCGACGTTGCCATGTTGGTGAATTTAGCGGTAATACTCTTATAGATATAATGATCGACTTTTAAGAAATCAGACAACTTTTAAGAATCCAAGTTCTGAAAAACGGTTTCAAGAATTGTATTATTTTTTTCCAAATTTTATTGATTTTATACCTTACCTGGAAACATGAAAAATTGCAGATATATTAATTATGGTATTAAAGTTACATTCAATAATTTTAAACTTGGCAACAGCGAAGCGCATCGCAATAAATCTTGATGGAACACCTGTTTGTCTGGCTATATGACACCCTAAATAGTTCATTTTGCAAGCAGCTATCAGAGGCGGATAATAAGGTAAGTAATATTATATTTTTCTAGGATGGCATTTTGGAGACCATTTGATACGAATGATCAAGATGCATCAACTTCTGTGTTATCAATAGATAATGACAATTATGTTAATGACAGCCCCGAATTAAAAAATAAAGATTTGCACGTACAATCCCAAAGAATAGTTTTAAATATGTATGAGTGTTTGAAAAAAGAAAATATTTTGATGGCTGATAATGCAATTGTTTCGAGAATTCATGTATTAACAAAAATCGGGTATAAGACGATATATACAATTATTAAATTAGGCATTGTTACAGATCATTCCTTAAAACGAAAGCGACCAAATAAAAAATTGGGTAGGATTGACACTGCTGCAAAAGACGTTATTCAGCGAACAGTTTACAATTTTTACAAAGAAAATAGAGTGCCTACTTTAGAACTGATTCGTGAAAAATTGAGAGATTTCCCTGAATATAATTATACATCTTTGGAAACACTGCGCGAGATTTTGATAAGTTGTGGATTTAAATATAAGAAATTAGATAATCGAATGGTAATAATGGAATCTCGGCGTATTGTTGAACTTCGACGAGAGTATTTGAGTAAAATAAAACAGTATCGTAATTCAAACAGAAACATAATCTATTTAGATGAAACCTGGTTCCATAGCACCAATAGTTATACAACCTGGGAACGATTCGACTTCAGAAGACTCTGACGATTCTTTTTAGTCCTTCTAATTAATTTCTTTACAGCTATCGCGATGCATCTTGAACACTAGTATTCATTATTATACAGTGTGTCGCATTTAAGACTGTAAAATTATACAATTTTACAATTTTCATATGCACTTTTAAATGGCAAATAAGAAGTTGTTTTGGTACATATAACTTTATTTTAGACTTGAAGAAATCTATAAAGTTTAAAAAAAGAAAATTAAAAAAATCGAAATTTTGGATTTAAGACACTGGAAATAAGCTCTTCAATTATTGAAAAAAGTAAAAGTGCGAATTTTGACATAAAACTTTGTTATGTGGGGTTATAATAATATTTGGAACATCTTTTCCAAATAACTTTTTCCGATATCTCTAACTCGAAGCAAAATATTGAAGATTCACCCTGTTTGTGCATTAACAGTAGGCCGTGTTTAAAAATTAAATTTCAGTTGATTATCTTAAAAAATGTGAATTGACAACCTGTATGACTGTGCAAAATTTCAAATTGGTATTTATTCTAATAGCCGAAATATAGGGGTATCTTCATCTTAAATGCGACACACTGTATAGAGTCAGAACAAAAAAAAACAAAAAACAAAAAAAAATATAAAAACAAAAAAAAAAAAAAATAATAAAAACAAAATGAAAAAAAAACTAACTTTATATTCTTACTAACATACCTAACCCTTTCCTTTCCTGGCAAGGAAGGCTCATACCTCCTCGTGGTCCTTGCTGGACAGACAATATTTTGAGATTTTCTGTCCTTGCTGGATAGACAATCTTTTAAAATTTTCTGACAGAATGAACCATTATTTACAGATAATTGTAAAAAAATATTATGGTTTATGTAAAAACTAAATAATAAGTCCAATATTCTTATAAATCACTAAAATTAACAAGCTTTAATTTGAAAGAATTAATTTGTTATTTATTAGATGTTGTGAGCCCGCTCACATTTGAAAAAAAAACTGATTCTGTCCTTTGAAGATTCCTATTCAAAAATACCGCGTTTAAACAAATCGAAGGTTGAAGGGTGCCGGACATTTTTGCCGGAAACAATTCAAATTCAAAAGATCTCCTTTTTCTGCTACGGAAAATATTACCCCAATTTCTCACCAAAATCAATGTCGAGACTTTAGTTTAAATACTCTTGAATCTCAAAAATACTCATTTACATATTTTTCAAGCCTCGAAAATGCATATTAGGTATCGCATTTTTCGGATTTTAAATCGCCTATATCTCCAAAACTATTAACTTTTGAGAAAAATGACATAGATCTTATTTAGAGTCACCCAAAAACCTAAAAAATATTTTTTGGAGCACAAAAGGTGATATTTTGAATTTGTTTAAAAAATTGTTCTGTAAAAAAAATTTTCCTGAATATAATTATGTAAAAATTAATAAAAATTATGATTTTTCTTGAAATATGCGTTTGATGAACTGATCCCTTTTCTTAATTTCCACGCCAATGGTCGGCATTTGCATCAAAGAAGCTCAAAAGCCGCCACTTGGAAAATTGACTTTGGAAAAAGTATAACTTAATTTACATCTCGTTTACATTTAGTCCTTTTGTTACGAGATTTATCTCAAAGCATTCCTCTAAACGTTTTTATTCGCAGCTATTTCTCTATGAGCTGTTTAGAGTGTTTAGGTATTTTTCCTCAGTATTTTGTTGTGATTGACAATTCACGTAGCACTTTGTATGATCTGACCCTAGATCGGCCGATGTTTGACTGTTACGTCAAAAATTGATTAAGGGGATATTTCTCCATTTTCTATTTATTATATAATCAGTTGTTTTATTGTTAACCTTAGGTATCTATTCTGACAGATGTACTTGTATTAAGGTTTTTTGAGCAAAAACTGTTATTTACTTTTAAATTAAGTATACCTAGTTACCTTTGTTTTACTAATATTTTCTTATTTAGTATAAGCGCTTGCCAATAAATGTATTAGCGTTACTATGGCTTGAGAAGATAAATTGTCTCAAAACTACCCAGAAGAATTAAAGTGACGGCCTATAAAATATTAATACCATCAGTGCTATTATCTGGATCAGTAACGTAGTCACTTCTTCCAGTGCGACAAAGAAAACTGGCTCAAACAGTCCCTGCATCTCTTTCTAATGGGCCGGGTTTATCGACCACGTAATCTTCCCATTTTTTAACTCTGCCTGTGATGTCAAATGGTTGGATCGAGTAGCTCAGAAGGTAAGAAGAAAATTTGTGCAGTGAGCTGACATCCCACTCCCGGAAAAAAACACACTGTTACGAAGCCTGAAGATTTGCCTCGGAATACAGGACGGAACTTTCGGAAACGACTCAACCTACGAAACATTGACTATATTTTTTGAAAACTGGAATGTAGGGACACTAAACAAACCAGGAGCTCAAACTGCACTTCTGCAAGAACTACAAAGATATAAGCTCATGATTACTGCCCTTCAGGAGACAAGGTGGCTATGGAAAGGTGTCAGGGACACTAAAACGCAGACAATTCTATATAGTGGGAAGGAAAAAGGAAGCAAAAGAACGTGGAGTTGCATTTGTGGTAAATAATGATTTTTAATTTCTGATTTTTGATTTCCAGGCAGTCAGTGAAAGGATATGCAAGTTAACAATTTGCACCCACTTGATGATAAACGTAACTAACTTGATGGTAAACCACCTAACAATGATAAACATTCACTGCCTAACAGAAGAACAAAAACAACATACAAAGTAAAGCTTCTACAGCTGGAGATAATATATGACAATGCGCCTAAAAACGACATCAAGATTATAAAGTTCTATTGCATAACAGGAAAACACCAACTGCACAATGAAACAATCGAGAATGGGGAGTTTTTGATAAAAACATTGTTATAAGTTCCACATGCTTCCCACATAAACACATACACAAAATGACATGGATTTCACCAGATGGTACCACATTCAATCAAATCGACCATGTGCTGATAGACAAA